TTTCAAATTGGTGGGATGGCGCGTTGTCGGACTTCATCGGCGAAGTGCGGTCGGTGCGGTGTTGTTGCTCTCAGACGAATTTGTAAGTCGCGCAGCAGCGGGCAAGGGGGACCCAGGAGCAGTGGCCAGAATTACTCTGTCTTCGGCAGGTGTTTCCTCAGTTTCAGTCTTAGACGTTCCCAGTATGTTGTGCTTTGCAGCGGACCCGGCATTGTCACGAGTTTCTGTGGATCGAGGCTTGCGCCACCAGAATCCGAAGTGCGATCAAGTGTATCAGGAATGTCCGGCATGTCTGACGTTCGTCGGCGAATGTGGTCAACGTGCTGTTTTTAATATGTGCCATCTTGCAGCTTTACCTGATATGAGATTGGTCCACTGTGAGAGTAGATGGCAGGAATCCAGCGTGGATGTCCCGACGTAATGCTGTGAGCGAACACGCTGTCGGCGAGGCAGAATTCTCTTGTCGTTCTGTTGCTCTGCCTGTGCTTTTCTTGGTGCTGCTCGACGTAGCGCTGATGATCTGGGTGGACGGTGTCCAAAGCCGACCTGAGTTGGCGTGACATCATTAACTCTGCCGGGCTTCTTCCTTTCAAAGTGCTTGACAGGATATGCAGCTCAAACAAGAAACGTGTGAGGCACACATTGATGTCTGGGCGCCTCAAGCGTCTCAACGCTTTTTTGGTGTCTTGAATGAACCTTTCCGCTTGACCATTCAATGATGGATGGTAGGGAGACACTAATGCTTGTCGGATGTTGTTGCGGACGAGGAACGCGCAGAACTTCTCTGACGCGAAGGCAGGGCCGTTGTCCGAGACAACCACATCGGCAATCCGTGTTTGGCAAACATCCATCTCAGTTCGCGGACGACAGTCGCTGCCGACGTGGACTTCATAATTCATACTTTTAACCACTTAGAATACGAGTCCACGACCAAAAGGAAGGTCTTTCCTTGGAAGGGTCCCGCAAAGTCCACGTGCAGTCGGGACCATGGCCTGGAGCTGTATTCCCAGGGATGCACTGGAGCTTGTGGAGGCGAGTCCCTTGTGACTTGGCAAGTTGCGCAGGTGCGGACCCGCTCTTCAATGTCCTTGTCCAGGCGTGGCCACCAGATGTAGCCTCTGGCGAGCCCCTTCATGCGCACCATGCCAGGATGCACAGAATGGAGAATCTTAAGGATTGCGGGGCGGAGGCCAGGTGGCACAACTACACGGCCTGCCCCATAGAATACAGTCGGGGTATGCGGAGAGTTCGTCGCGGCCCACATGGTGCGGTTAGAATTCTTCCGATGGCTTCTCGTCAGGCCATCCATGCCTGATCCATCGGAGGACGCGGCAAAGCTTCGGATTCTGCTTCGTTAGTCGAGCAATTCGCTCTGTGTCTACTGGGACCTCTGGAGCAGCCTCGAGTAGGAGAACGTACCCCAAAAGTGGGGTCTCGAAGTCCTTTGTCGGCAGAGGCAACCGACAAAGGACTTCGAGACCCCACTTGGCAGCAGCGCAGCGCCGCATCGACACATCGTTCATACTTCGTGCCTTGCCATATTACAGATCGCCGCGGCCCCTGCTCCTTGAGGACTGCACTCTCACGAGTAAACCATTCAAGTCCACACGTGCCTCAGCATCAGACAGCCACGTCATCGGCTTCTGAGTGGTGATTGGTACGGCCTTCGTTCGTCGCCAGGGACCAACGATTACAAGAGTGGACCACCACAAGCCACCGGCACTTGGCAGCAGCGCAGCGCCGCATCGACACATCGTTCATACTTCGTGCCTTGCCATATTACAGATCGCCGCGGCCCCCGCTCCTTGAGGACTGCACTCTCACGAGTAAACCATTCAAGTCCACACGTGCCTCAGCATCAGACAGCCACGTCATCGGCTTCTGAGTGGTGATTGGTACGGCCTTCGTTCGTCGCCAGGGACCAACGATTACAAGAGTGGACCATCACAAGCCACCGGCACTTGGCAGCAGCGCAGCGCCGCATCGACACATCGTTCATACTTCGTGCCTTGCCATATTACAGGTGTGCATATATTTCTGCTCTTTCCTCAGTTAATATTGCTCTGAAAAGCGTTGTCGCTGCTGCCTGCAAGTCGCTTTGTTGAAATTGTGTGCCCACTTCGGTTTCTGTTTATTCTGATATTACAAACTTTTCGCTTAGACTATCATGGAAAAAGCGCTAGAAGATCTACGTCGCGAGCTACGGGCAGACTTGAGGAGCTTGAAAGAGAGCGTCAAATACTGCAGCGACACGTGCGACGGAGTAATGTCCATTAAAAACGACATAAAGGAACTGCGAAAAGAAATCCTAGAGCTTACATTACGGAATCAGGAGCTAAACGCAGAAAACTGCCGACTGGGCGCTAAAGTAGAAGAACTGGAACAATACCAGCGATCGAACAATCTTGAGATCAAGGGGGGTACCAGCCGAAGGAGATGTGAATGATATTGTCAAAAGGATTGGTGCCCTTCTCGAAGAACCCGTGGACGATGCAGATATTGACATCTGCCACCGCGTCGCCACATTTAAACCAAATGAAAAGAACATAATTGTCCGTTTCATCCAACGCACGAAACGAAATAAAATCCTACAAAAAGCTAAGAAAAAGCGAATCACTACGGCATCTCTCGATTTTGGCGGGACCGTTTCTCCGATTTATATAAATGAACACCTTACGAGCCTGAACAAGAAACTGCTAGGAACGGCCATCGCGCAGAAACGAAAGGTTGGGTGGAAGTTTGTGTGGTGTTCTGGTGGGAAGATATTCGCGCGTAAAGATGAAAACTCAGATGTAATTAAGGTTTCGTGCCTTAGCGATGTCGAGGGAAAAATCAGGAACTAATTCCGAATATGTAGATGACAGCTACTTTTTTTTTTCTTTGAGATGGCTGTGCACGACCATTTTTATGAACCACATGAAGTTAACGCGTTGATTCGTGGGAATAAACAGAAGTGCCTTACACTCTTTCATCTAAACGTGAGGTCAGCACGATCCAAAACTGATGAACTTTGTTTGTTTTTTAACAGGTTTCAACCATTGTTTAATATTATAATGCTCACTGAAACTTGGTATAGCGATGACAGTGATTTTTTTGTTTTGCCAGGTTACGCCCATTTTTATTTGAACCGCAAACAAAACCGTGGCGGTGGTGTGTCCATTTTGATAGCGGACACTGGTTTCGAGATTGTACCCGAATTTTCTATGATTACAAACGACTACGAAGCATTATGCATACGCAAAAACCTTGAAGTGTATTGTGTTATCTACCGACCACCGAAGGGAAATGTATCCCAGTTCTTTGAATTTTTAGATAAGCTATTCACCGCTATCACTGAAGTGACGTGCAATTTCACCCTTGGCGGTGATCTAAATATTGATATGCTTGATGTATCGTGCAACCAGACTGAACTTTTATTATTGTTGTCCGCAAATAGTCTTCATAATGTAATATCTCATCCCACACGTATCACAACATCATGTTCTTCCATGCTTGACTTGTTTATCACAAATCATGAAAGCTCTGATATTACTGCTGGGGTGCTGTGTTCGGACTTAAGTGATCATTTACCTATATTCATGCTGATTCATAAACAAAATCTGTCATCAAAAACTCAATCCAATAAGGCTCCTCCCCCGAGATATCTACAAGATATCAACGAAAAAACACTGCAGGCATTTAGACGGAATATAGAGACAACAAACTGGAGCAGTATATTCGACATAGCTGATGTAAATCAAGCTTACGACAAATTTATCGAGGTTTTTAAAAATATTTATAGTCTTTCATTTCCATTGAAACTACTTAAGAACAATAAACGTGCGCGCAAACCATGGATTACTGGGGATCACTTAAAATCAATGCGTATCAAAGCTTGCTTATATAAAGATTTTTTAAAGACCCGAAACTTAGTTGTGCTTGCAAAATTTAAGACGTTGAGAAACCGTCTGAACGCAGATTTGAAGCGTTCAAAACGTAGCTACTACAACAATCTTTTTGACTCAGAATGTATGAAACACTCGGACTTAATTTGGAAGAGGCTTGGTGCTCTCTTAGGTAAAAAAACAAATTGTACTAAAATAGAATCTTTAAGTATTGATGGAATAGAAAAATCTGGTTCTGCACTTTCAGATGCTTTTAATCATTATTTTGTAAACGTTGGGTCAGGAACTTACTGTAGTGACGCAGGAAATAATATACCAAGAGTTTCTGAGACAATATTTTTTTATCCTGCCGATGAACACGAAGTTTATGCGGCGATGGCCAATTTACGCAACAACAACAGTTGCGATGTTGATAATTTAAATATTAAACCTGTTAAACTTGTCATAGATATCATTGCGCCTTGTTTAACACATATTTACAACCTTGCTCTGACATCAGGAATATTTCCCATGGGTATGCAGACCGCGAAAGTAATAGTATTGTTCAAGAAAGGGGATAGAAATTGCATAGGGAACTACCGACCTATTTCTATTCTTCCCATTTTCTCAAAAGGCCTCGAAAAAATTCTGCACACGCGAATTACAAATTTTTCAAATAAGCATAAACTCCTAACTGACTCTCAATTTGGTTTCAGGAAATTCAGGTCAACCGAGTGTGCACTCTTACACCAAAAAGAGATAATACTGGACAATTTAGAAGAAACGTTGTCAACAGTCGGTATATTCTTAGATTTCAGTAAAGCGTTCGACTGTCTTGATCATGGTATTCTTTTAGATAACTTATTTTTATATGGTTTTCGCGGTGTTTCTTTTTCTTTGTTAAAATCATATTTTCAAAGTCGTCGGCAATATGTTTCAATCAACGACCATATGTCCTCTTTGCTAGGTATTAATTCTGGTGTTCCCCAGGGAAGCATTCTGGGACCACTTCTATTTCTTTTTTATATTAACGATATTGTAACTATTGACCCTGATGTAAATTTTATAATTTACGCAGATGATACGAGTATAATCATTTCTGATAAAAATTATGAACATCTTGTTACCAAAGCAAATATTGTTCTATCTAAATTAAAATGTTGGTGCGAAATTAACTCCCTCCATATAAATACTAATAAGAGCAAGGCTGTAATATTTCAACTACATTCTAGAACTCAAACAAATTTATTCCTTCTTTTCAAATATGGTTCTGATATTATTCATTGTGTTGAAAATGTCAAAACTCTGGGTGTATTTTTTTCCTTTAACATGTCCTGGTCTGAACATGTTAAATATATTCGTACTAAACTTTCAAAAATAGTTGGAGTAATAAACAAATATAGAAACATTTTACCTACCAATATCAAACTTCAAATTTTTAAATCATTATTTTTCCCCGTCTTAGGATACGCGCATCTGATATGGGGATCCACTGGTTTAACCAACTTAAATTTGTTCCGCGTGCTGCAGAAAAAAGCTCTTCGTGCAATAGCCAATGTTCCTACGACCTCACCATCATTGCCTCTCTTTGATAAATTTTCCATAACCGACGTGTCAAAACTTTACAGTCAACGCTTAATATTAACGTACCAATCGGCCCTAAAAGGTAAATCCGAAACATTTCTGAACCTCGCTGACCTTCATTCGCAAATTCCAATTTATCAAACCCGTCAAATACATCCATGGCAAATACCAAGATCACGTACGAACTTTGGACATCAAAGAATTAAACATGCACTTCCTCACTTACTAAATCATGTCGCATCGCTAGAAATTGATATCACTTCACTTAATAAAAATAGCATCGTTAACATTGTATAAAAAAATGCACGTTCTATGATTTATTAACATTGTATAAAAATGCACATTGTATTGTTTTTCTAGATTTATTTGTTCATTAAATGGTCTCTTGTTGCGTTGTCTGCCATGTAGGGGTGCCAGGGGCTCATCAAGCTGCATATAAGCAGCTTTTTCCCTTGGTATCCCCCATCATGTGATGGAAAATAAAAGCTGATTTGATTTGATTTGATTTGACTGAATGAGTTGGCATTGCCCATCTGCCGACCTGGACGGTAGACCAGCTCGTAATCGTACTGTCCCAGGAGCAGATTCCATCGGAGCAGGCGTGGCGACAGAACCGCTGGGATGGAATTGCTGTGATGCAGAAGCCCAAGCAAGGGTTTGTGATCTGTGTCTCTCATGCAGGTACTGGTGAAACTTACTTCTGACACCACGGCCAACGCCTCTCGGTCTGTTTGAGAGTAGTTCCGCTCGGTCGGAGTCATCGTCCTGGATCTGTAGGCGACTGGAGCTTTCAGGCCGGGCTGATCTTCGTGAAACGACAGGACGTCTATCCGGGATGTTAAGATTTTTCAAAAGTTATTTCATGAATTCATATACAGTTTTACTCTTCTCGCTTCTCTACACTTTCATATTCCTGTTAGCACAAGCTCTAGAATTCGTAGTGTATTTTAACCAAATTTTCATCACAAGTTTTCACCGGTGTCACAAATCCAAACCTGTTTTACACCAAGTTTTGCAACACTGACATTTGTTGTACAAATCTGCCTCGTTTTAAGCATCTGTATGAATTTTAAACGTGTCCTCAATTTTAAGCGTGTGTATGACTTTTAAGCATGTACGGTGTATATGTATCTTATATTTTGTGTTTTACCGCAAAAACCTTCAGACACGTGAATAATAAAGATTGGATTGGGTCAGTATTTCAGGCTGTCCTGACTTCTGAGCTGAAATAAATACAGTATAACGTTGTTTCATAACAAAGAAGCACACAAAAAAAGACACACTGCATAGTTAGATAGGAAAATTTTCATTTGGTTATATTGGGCGTGCACTGTTACCACGCTACTAATTTCTTTTTTTAACCATTATTTTAAGTTGTTTTTTTTTACATTTTTTAATGTTCATCGGAATACCTTTAATATTTGCAATATTTCATGCCCGAACTGTAAACGCTGAACTCGTTTATACGTTCTGCAAATAATATTAAGAAAGAAAATGTGATATTTAGATATTACTAGTGCGGTGTGAGAGTGTCATTGCGCACGGAAGCTTAATTTCCAAACTTTACTTATTATCCCTTAATTTGTTTCATACAAATTGTTTTGCTATTATAGCATATACACATTGTGTACGGTAGGCTCCGAGATAAACTTTATTAAGTTGAATTTAGTTACTAAAAGATGCACAACTTAAGGCTGGTTTACCCACTTGCGTTTACTTACGACCGAGTTTTCGAGATCTATGTAGCGAGGAGAGAATATCCTGGCATGCTGGCGCCATCCATGAGGTGGCTCTGGAACTGCATTTCACCAGAGTTTTGCAGTATTTGGGAGATCAAATTTAGGTGTAAAATATTGACGTTTAAAACGCTGGTCAAAGGTTTTCAAGTCAACGAAGTTATGATGAGAGAAAAAATAGAAAATATGTGGAAATTGCAAATGTTATGTGTCTACCCGATAGGTGTGTTCTTTCGTCGAAAGCGATCACAAGGCTGTCAGTCGTAAGCAATGGGCAGTGTTTAAACTTGCCTTTACTTGAATGCTTGTACGAGGTAGAATGCTTTCGCCGTTCTAATCAGTAATAACTCGTTTCATTTTTGAAGTGTGTGTTCTCCCTCTACTTGTCCTCCGTCTTTCGCGCTGTGTTTTCCACTTCAATCTTTTTCGAGACTCTAGGCTTCCGATATCTTGGGGCTTTTATAATTTTAGCCGACCTGTTCACTAAAGTCCCAAGCGGTTAACGACCTTTCTGTGTGTTGCGAGTACACATCATGACAACAGCTGGCAAGCTGCGTATAAACATAGGAAGTGAACGCTTCCATTGTTTACATGTAAAGGTTGAGGGTTGCACTGCCAACACCTCTCCGGAAAGGTCACAGTGCGTTGGCAACATTGCGAAGGTGGTATTTATTGTTAGTGATACAATGTTGCCGAAGAGACGTCCCCTTGTATGGTTTTCACGAGTCTTTAGGCGACTTTAAAAAGTTACTTTAGTATAAATACCGTGCCACTTATTTATAGCTAAATATCTATTTTAGCCATACGTTACCTGTGGGAATGCGGGGATGGAGCGTCTTCAACCCGAGTTTTCTTGTAACGGACCACACACCAGAGGGTTTAGTAGCAGTCACTTCAGTCTTCAGTTTATGGTTATTTGGAAGCTATGAGGGCATGTGTGCGTTTTGGAACAATGCTAGAATTTCTAAGGTTTCATCTCAATCTGGGTCTACTCATACAGTGTGCTTCACATTACTTTTTTACATTTTTTTAAAACACTAATATTCTAAGACGATTTAAAGAGGCAGTGCAACAATTTTAATGTTGAAAGAATTGCCCGTTTGCATTTTTTATATTGTTGATGCAAGCCCAAGTGACTAAAAACGCGTCACGTTTCCCCGAGAAGCTGCTATTCTGCTGCGTAATCGTAAAGCAAAAAACAAATTATTTGCCTATCTGCAGCTGCCTGTTGCGGTTACGGGAACTAAAATGACAGCGTCTCTGGGGGATACACAGAAGTCAACAAAACCTTTGCTGCTACACTTGCCGTCAACCCCGTGGCGACCCGTCCTTTTTGTCGATCATTTGCTGCGATCTTCGACGATGCAAATCCTTTAAAAGTCTGCAATCGTGAAGAAAGCGGCTGGGGTCTCTGAAGGGAGGACCCAAGGGGAAACCACGTGAACCCCCAGAGTATGTCACTCGAAAGGCGACGCGGAAAGTTGAGAGGCACTTCGACCTTCGATTTTTTTTTTTTTTTTTTTAAATAAGAACTAGCACTCGCAAGAAAATAGGTTTTCTGTTTTTCGTTCCATAGGTGACGCATAATTATTTCGGCAGTTAATTGGCCAAAGTCTGAAAATCGTTGCACAGCCCCTTTAAAGAGCAGAGAGCGAGGCAGCTATTAGAGGCTTTTATTATCAAAACTTGGGTGATGACTGCATAAGTCACCCGTCACTTGCTTTGACAGATACTAAGGAAGCATTTGTGCAGGCTGCATTTGTGCAGCTTTTTCTTCGGCCTCCCATTCACCACTTGTATTTGTGGTGAAAAATAAAGTTTGTATCGTATCGTTAATTAAACTTCAGTTGTGAGTAAATGCCTGTTTTTCATACTTTTCTCTTTTCTGTCCTCTGTTTGTTTTGCGCGCTTTCTATTTTATCATAACATACTGATGTTCCAATGACATCTGAATCCACCTCTTCAGTTGTTCTTTCAGCTCGTTTATGGCGCTCTGTGCCGTCTCTTGTCCCCGCATATCCGCACTCCCTGCATGGATGAGAACCATTCCTGTTCCTGCTTGCCACACTCTGTCCCTCTCCGCCCAAGCCATCGTTTCTCTCAGTTGAACCCCGGGTTTATGTCGCAAAGTGCTGGTCGTATTCGATTGCCTTTAGTACTCTTCTTTTCATTTTGAATGCTCCTGTGTCTCCCACCACAAGCACTCTCCTGTCACCTGTATGGCTCGCTTCCCACGCCTCCCTCTTATCTGCGCTGTTGGCCTCACTGTAATATCTGTTGGGCTGTTTTGTTTCGATTCTCCTTGTCTTTGGGGTGTTGATGCTCTCTTGCATTAGTTGGCATTAGTTGGCCCCTGTTGATTCACACTCGTGTCTTGTTGTTTTTCTTCTCACATTTTCCGTCCCGCTTTCTCTCCTCGTTTTGGCCTCTTCACCACCCCGTTGCGGTGGCCCGTTAACGTTGTCTATTCTTCTATCAGCCGCCCCCTGCACACTCCTGGCTGAGTCGGCGTCGTCTCGTGTGTTTCTCCACTTTTTCATCTCTGTATTGAGTAGCTCCATCAGCCTGGTTTCCGCCACCACCCTTTGTGTTCTTTCATCCTTTGGGCTTTGCCATCATTCTACTCTTCGCTGCTGTTCTCTCTATCCTCTGTTCAGTGATTTGCACCCGCAGCTCTTCAATCATGCTTCTCGGTATTTCTCACGTCTCATTTCTTTTTCTGTGGCTCGTCCCATTTCCTGTTCCGTCTTATTGCACTCCCAACATTTGAACTGTGTCTCATCCAGGTCGATCCATTTTTTTAAACTCTCTCCCTCTACATTTGTTTTTTTTCCCCAAACTATTTTTGTTCTTCTTACCGTCCCCCCTCCCGTTTTTTCCTGCAGGGATTCATCCTTTCTTTCATATTGCTGCTGCCAGTGTGTCCTGGATAGCTAGGTTCGACATTTCAGAAAAGGTACATGGAAGTGACGTAATGGAAAGGAGGAACATATCCTAGCAACACTCACGTGGTGGCTCTGCCCACTTTGACGCCGCTACATCATCGCAAACTTGACGCCTGTCACCCGTTTGAGCGACGTCCGGAGCCAACCCCCGACGAGCGGAGGGAGCTACGCATTCCCTGAGGTGTCCCTACGAGCGGGATACGGGGTAGGATTTACTACGACGCGGGGAGCAGTTTCTGTGTATAGCGAAGGAACGGCAACCAATCGTGTGCGTCGCTGGCCGTCGCATCTGTTCTAGTACAGGTAAAAGTATTGAAAAACAATACAAACCTGTTGGCGTTGTTAAAGCAAACCACTTTTTTTGTCCTTTTTGAATACATTTAAGAATTAGTTGGAGAGAAAATTGTTCCAATATTATGCGGGATGTGTGCTACGCGCCTTTTTCAAACCAAAATGTCGGACCACGAGGAGCCGGGGGCAGCGGAGGGGTCGGCGGAACCAACGAGGAGCGCGCGAGTGACGGCTGCTCAGAAGAAGGAGCAACTCTCCTTCATGTGTGAGCACCCGTCGCTCGCACGCAATGCCACTGACCTCTCTGCCGCCCTGACGCGGGACGATAAGCGGCGGCTATGGGAGCGGCTCGCTCTGCGCCTGAACGCGCTGGGGTCTCCAACCAAGAGCTCCAAGCAGTGGAAGGAGCATTAGTCCCGGCACGGAAGCGAGCTGCACAGCTCAACGAGGCCGCAAGGTAATCTTTGTAGTCTGCTGATAGTGCAAAGAAATTTATTCAGTCGTTTTCGTCAGCGGCGTAGAGTTTCCATTTTCCCGGGGGGGGGCAGACCCGGAATGTGGCTCAAAAAAAAAAAGGGGGGGGGGGGAGGCTGCGGGGGGGGGGGGGGGGAGGAGAAGGTCCTTGTTTTATTTGTTCCGTGGGTTCTCCCCATAAGGGTCACCTGCAGCAGTCGGAGCCTTTACCGAGCATTTTGGTAAACCTGAGACTGGAGAAAAAGGGACAAGGACATAAACAAACGGACACGGACATTGTGACAGCTAACTACCTGGTGTCCCCAAATAAGACGCTCCGCAAAAGAATGACCCGGAAACTTCAGCGGTTTGACGCATCCAGTAGAAATTTCTCTGAATACGTGTTTTACTGGCCACATTTATGCAAACATATTGCAAGACTAAACTACCAGTACAAAAAAGTAAATCTTTTTTTTTTCTGCAGGGGTAGTTCGGGTCTAAAATTTTGTTGCATAAATGTGACCAGTAGAACACGTATTTCAGGAATATTCCTACTTGTTGCACCAAGGATCTAAATTTTGCGGGCCATTTTGTGTGTAAAGTGTATTTTGAGATGCCCATATAGTACCAAACTCCCCGAGTGTATACGCAGGCGCACCAAAAGTGGTAATTTTGAAAATGGTGAACAGGAGAAAATGAATCTGCTGTAACCAAAATATTTTAATATTTTTATTTTCGTGTGGTACATTTATAATGAACAGACACACGAGGCACACGTTGAGCAATTCTCAATGCAACGGTTACAAAACGCTTACAATTAAAAAAAAAAGTATAGAGCAAACATACAAGCATTAACGGCGTATCTGCTCGCGCATTTCATCGTACACTGCTGTTTTTGTTTTGTACATTTCCTTAACGTGCTCACTCACAAAAGCAGGAAGTAAGAAAAAGAAACAGAATGAACAGATTGTAGCAATGAGAACACGTGCATAAAAGAGACAGATAATTTCAGCCTTTCGCGGAAGCACGCAAGTTAAAATAAGAATTCTTCCAAATAATATGTCAAATAATGCTACGGAAAAGACCCGAGAAAAATATGTATGCTTCACATTTAAATTTGATCAGCGTCCAAATAGTTGGATCGCGAGCACAGCATTTGACACTTCACAGTGGTGTTTTACACTCTCAGAACACACAAATAAAAAAACTATTACAGTTCTTCGATTCTATACATGCCTTGCAAGTGACGTCGCGCTAGGGAACATCTAGGGAAGGACGGGACCCCGCATTATACTGGTGGTTGACTTCACACCGCGCGGATGCGCTTACCAAGGCGTAGGATGCCGCTATCGGCCCGGACATGCGCTAAAATGCATCACATTTTCAACAAAGGTACCGTGAACTTAGAAAAACGTGCTGAGCTTACGATGATGACGTTTATCCAGTACGTGCGGAATTTTTCGGCATTTGTGCGATTGCCCTACGAGCAAAAAGTTTCGAAATGCCGCCGACGAAGTTTTGACGCGAAGGGCTGCCGTGTCGCCAAGAAAAGGACACAGCTTAACTGCGCGCTTCATTATTTGACGAGTGGCTCTAGGAGTCGCTTGTAGAAAAAGTGTTACGATTTCGCGAAATATTGGTAAACAACGCAATGTCACCGTCATAACCTTAACCCTGAGAAAAGGGTAAATCAAATAACGGACAAGAAACTGTCATCGTCTCTCAGGGCTTATACTATGATGTTATCCCAACCGGCTCCTCTGCATACTTTCGCTCCTTGCAAAGGTTACCGTCTTGCGGACGGCACAAACCGATGACCCGGCGGTGGCGGCTCGGCGAGCTTGCACACGTGGGCCGCCGCCGACCGATCGCCGTCGGGCCGGGCTCGCGGCGCGACAGTCGCCCGGATTCGGGCGGGAGCCCCGAATGTGCGCTCGAAGTGTGAAAACGGCGTTATGCAACGAAGGTCAAAGGCCATACACACCACGAACGAGCAAAAGCCGATTAAAAGGCGTGTGCGAGCTTAAACAACGATAGAAAAGTGCCGTCGTTCGCCGCTATGAAATGCGTCCCGCAAACTTGATAATCCGCGGCCGCATCCCTTTCCTGCCGTTCGTACTTTCTCTAACTTGGCGGCTACTCTGTCTCGCGGGGCATGCCGACGAAACGATCGGACGACAATCGGGATACGGGGTAATTGCTACAGCCGAGCACGGCGCAGTTTACCATGGCTCTCGCTGTGAAGGGCCGCCGAGTCAACCACCAGCATGGTAGATACCGGTGTTTGACGTCATCACGTGACGTACGTGCAAGGCATGTATACAAATAGATAAAAACAAATATAGATACACACGACTGAGAAAATAACAAGCTTCAGGAACGGAAGATATTTCAGAGGGTATTCCCGAGAAGAGTGGTCTTAGATTTCAACATGAAACGTGTTTTCTCTAACTACCGTTCGATGAATGAACTCGTTAGCCACAAGATCTAGATCCACTTGCCTAGCGAGCTCTTTGTGGCAGTGGAGCAAGGCGGTATGGTTGAGTCTGGCCTGTCCCATTGTTGAGCGCAGGTAAGTTTTAACTCTCCGGAGACACGAGAAAGATCTTTCTGACGAACAGGAAGTCACAGGAATCGTCATTGCGATTTGTAGAAGCTTGACAACTTCTGGAAGGAGCACCCTCAAGGGGTCACCTGCTTTTCCCGAAAGAAGGTCCACCACATCTTGAAATGTGACAAGACTCGTTGCACGTTGCTTTGCTATGTCCAGTAACATATCGCGGTGAAGCTGAAGACGCACAGCGTTGAGATCTCCTTTATAGAATTCGCAAAGGTACGTGCTGTCAGTTTCACCTGTTACGAACTGCTCTACTTGTGTCATGTGATGCCACATTTCTGGCGGAAACCGCGTGCGCAGCGATGCATGCACCGTGTCGATGACTAGATAGAACCGTTGCCGGTAGAAAGCTTCCGGGGAATTAAAGTCATGAGCGTGCGATCCTTCATCATATCGACGTGGTGCCTGCCGCGGTCTCTTCGGAACGCTTGGGGCCCCAATCTCCATTTCACGTTCTTCATCCGACACATCGGCCCAGAAGCTGGAGAAGTCCTCGCGGAGTTGACCGATACTCTCTTCAACAGCCTTAACTAAAAGCTCTGCTCGGGTGAACTGTAAGCTCTTCTTTTGGAGAGCGGTGTTTACACTTTCCAACCTCTCAAAGACAAGGAGCATAAACCTAAGTAGAAAATAGGTGTCAAATTTTTTAAGCGTTTTCGCGTACCCACTCGCTTTGGCTCCCGTGTCATTTTTTTCTTCCGATGAAAGAGTGAAAAGGAATTTGGTTAGTTCGGAGTAGTTACTGGAGACCGACCGGAGCGAGCACGCCTTTAACGTCCACCTAGTTTTGCGAAAGTGTCTGAGAGCAGGGTTTTCCTGTTTCTGAAACTGCTGGAACCAGCTGAGACGTTTTGGGGATGTTTTAACAAAATTGACGAGGTCCGTAAACAAGCTAACAAAATCCCGACAGACATCAATTTTCGTGCACAAATCTTGCAAAGACAGGTTCAGTGTGTGCGCAAGGCAGTGCACATACAAAGCCCTTGGTTCGATGTCTTGAACGAGGGCCTGAAGCCCACCGCTCTTGCCAGAAACATTTGCAGCTCCATCATAGCATTGACCACAGCAGTTCTCAATCCGAAGATTGAACCGACAAAGCACGTCTTTCAAAATGGAAAAGAGAGTACGGGCTCTGGTGTCCGCTGTTGCATAAAATCCAACGAATACCTCCTCCACTTCTAAGTTTTCCTTAGCATACCGAAGGCAAAAGGATACTTGCTCTTGCGTAGTTATGTCAGAAGTTTCATCAGCAATAACAGCATAAAACCCTGTCTCGTGCACTTCTTTCATTAGAGAGCGAAGCATGCTGTGCGTTATTAACTCGAGCATCTCGTTCTGGATGTCACCGGAGGTCCATTTATAGCCTATTCTACTTAGCCATGCTGCTAATCCCGGTACATCGGCTTCGCGCAACAGTAACAGTTGCTTCAAGTTCCCCTCGTCGTCATCGTGTCCCCGCAGCGCTAGACCTTGAAAAGCCAAAAAGCGAATAGATGACAATATAGCCATCAGAGCTTTACGGCTTTCCTTCATTTGGTTTTGTTTAGACTCTGAGAGAGCAGATGCCACATTTAGCCCCATGTTTGAAGCTGTCAGAGCGATGGAGGCTGCGCGATGCAATGCCGAGTTTTCGTGGCTTTTAAATCTGCAGTGCTTTTTTCCAGTTCTGGAAGCCAATTTCGACAAAAGCAATCAATGAGTCTTTGTCTCGGGATGTACGCAGTAGCGGAAGCTTCTTGTCAGTAGCAGTTACGCAGGTGTCACAATACACCTTACCGGTTTGTGCATTGTAGGAAAGCCAGCTGTAGGTAGATTCCCAACTCTTCAGAAACCCTCGTCCACCGTTGCCTTTAGCGGGCGCCGGCCGAGTCTGTTCGGGACGCCCATGAGTGCTTGGTTTTCCAGTTGTGGCCTCCCCATTCTTTGAAGCTGACTCCAGGACGTTTCCTACAGTCGGTGCCGACCAACTCGCAGACCTGGGCGTATCAGCAGTAGCAGCGCTGATGGCACCCAAAGTGTCCACAGAGGGCGCAGAGGTTCCGCCATCGTGACGTGGAACGCCATCGGCTGGATCGCACAGGCCGGGAGGATTTCTGGGCACTTCAGCAGATAATCGTGGTCTCTTGAGGAGATACTTGTCCATTCTGCATATCCAGGAGCTGAAAAAATATTGGGAGTTGGAGCGCCGTGAAGAACGATTGAAGGCAAGAGCACCGGCGCGATGTCCGGGAGGGAGAAGCGGCGGTGAGTCACCGCGCGATGCAGTCAAACGAAAACATCAAGTGATGAGGAGAGGAGTACTCGGTCAGTGAGAGTAGTTTTGTGGAGGCGGCGAAGGCGTCGCGGCAAAGATGGATGGATGGATGGATGGATCTGGCTAAACCCTGTGAATCGGGCGGTGGCTTGCGCCACCTAGCCAACATTATAAATCTAATTATATGTTTTGAATTCCAAGATTAAATCTCACCCCTGCCTTGATTTTAGCCACCAGTCTGATAACCTCCGCTTGGTTATTTCTACCCGTGTAAAGTCTATTTTTCCTTCACTGTCTTTAAAACCCAATGCTTTGATTAAATCCGCCCGGTCACTGTTAACTGTTGGGTGAAGCCCTTTACAGAAAAATATTAAGTGTTCAGCCGTTTCCTCCTGCTCCCCACACACACTACATAAAGTGTCCATCTCCTGGTACTAACCCGGTACGTCTTAGTCCGCAATACTCCTGTCCTGGCCTCAAACAACAAAGAGCTTCCCCTAGAATTATCGTAGATATTTTCCTTGCAAATTTCCTGTTTGAACATTCTGTACGTCTCCAGTGCTGGTTTTGTCTGCATACCCGTTTCCCACAGACCCTTCTCTGTTTCTTTTATCCTTTTCTTAACCCGTAATTCCTGGTTGGCGCCCCCACTGCCGCCCAAATATTTGCTTGATAATTTTCTAGTTCGCTTTCTCCATTTGGTATCTACATTCCTCATGTACAAATAATTGAAAACTTTCCTAGCCCACTGCTCTTCCTCCATTTCCCTCAAACGCTCCTCAAATTCTATCTTGCTGCTAGCTTCCCTGCCCTCGAATGACGTCCATCCCATGTCGCCTTGTACCCCCTGATTCGGTGTATTTCCATGAGCTCCCAAAGCAAGCCTACCTACGCCCCGCTGTTTAATTTCTAACTTTGCTTGAATATCTGGTCTCATGCACAGGACCACATTGCCGAAGGTCAGGCCGGGAACCATGACCCCTTTCCAAATCCCCCTCACCACTTCATACCTACTGTAATTCCACAGAGCCCTATGTTTCATGACGGCTGCATTCCTGCTACCTTTCATCGCTACATGTTTTTCATGCTCCGTTAGATACTCAACACCATTATTTATCCATACCCCAAGATACCTGTACTTATCCACTACCTCCAACATGACCTCTTGTATCCTATGCTCGCCACCATCTTTATCATTAAAAATCATCACTGCCGATTTTTCTTGACTAAATTTAAGACCTAGTTTATCTCCCTCTGTACCACAGATATCCATTAATTTCTGCAAATCTTCTTTGTTGTCGGCCATTAGCACTATATCATCTGCATACATCAGCCCCGGTAGTGATTGTTTAATCCATTCACCTTGCTTGATGAAAGAAAGGTTGAAGCCAAACCCGCTCCGCTCTAGTTTGTTCTCCAATCCCTGTAAGTATAACATGAACAACAAAGGCGACAAAGGGCAGCCTTGCCTAAGCCCCCGCTCTATCTCTATAGGCTCCGATACATTTGTTTCCCATTTTATAAGCACCTTGTTGCTATTATATATATCTTTTAAAAGATTAGTTACTCCAGCTTCTACCCCTAATGTACCCAGTATGCCCCACAAATTCTCTTGAATTACACTGTCGTAGGCTTTTTCGATATCCAGAAACGCTAGCCATAGGGGCCTTTGTTCCTTTTCTGCTATTTCGATACACTGCGTTAAAGAGAACAGATTGTCCTCTGACCTCCTTTGCTTCCGGAACCCATTCTGCAGCTCCCCCAGCACCCCCTCGCTCTCCACCCATGCCTGCAGTCTATCCTTTATAATCTGCATCACCACCCTGTAAATCACTGACGTCACCGTTATAGGACGATAGTTGTTTATGTCTGCTTTGTCCCCCTTTCGTTTATATATCATGCTCATCCTGCTTAGTCTCCATTCATCGGGGGCTTTCCCATCCGTTACCATTTTATTCACTGCCTCTCTTAATGCTTGCTTAGATTTTGGGCCCAAGTTCTTGATTAACATAATGGGAATACCGTCAGGGCCTGTCGAGGTGCTACTAGGAACTCTTTTCTCTGCCCTTTCCCATTCTCTTTGTCCGAACAAATCCATAGCACTTACCGGTCTGTTCTCCTGCGATAAAGCATGTGCCTCATTCCTTCGGTCTTTAAATTTTTCCGCCATCATTGTCCCTATATGCTGCATTGCCTTATCCCCTTCCAGTCGAGTACCTTGAGCTGTAACTATAAACCTCTGTTCTAAACTTGTCTTATTACTCATGGAGTTCAGATGTTTCCAAAATTTCTTTGCTGCCTTTTTATCCTTTTTGTGCACTTTTGACAACCATTGGGACCCCCTTGTTCTCATTTTCTCACTGATTAAACAGGATGCTTCCCTTCTATAAATTATGAAATTATCCCATTTTCTGTCTACTTCGGCTTTTGGTTCCCCCCTTTGCTTGGAATGTCTGTGTTCCCTGGATGCTTTTTGGCGTCTCTCTATGGCGTTCTTAACCTCCCCATCCCACCAGCTCTTGGGTTTATGCCTTCCTTTTCCTTTTTCTCTAGGTCGGACCTTGGATAGCTCTAGCTCAAATAATCTCATTAAATTTGTGTAAGTCCATTCTGCTGTGGTATCGCCAGAAATTAATTCCTCAATTTGTTTGGTTGCTATCTCCAGTTGCTTCTCCGAGTAAAAGATCCTATCTGGTTGTTCATCTTGCATCTTTCCTTTCCCGGTTTCTCTCGTAAAGCTCAGCTTGATCCGTTTGTGATCACTACCCAGGCTTCTGACCCCAAGTTCATCTATGTTCATTACCTTTAGCCTATCATACATCCTATGCGACATTAGTGAATAATCTATCGTCGAATGCAAACTCCCTACCTCCCAAGTTATGAGCCCTTCACACTTCTCGGTACTGTTGCATAAAACCAAGTCATGTCTTTCACACATATCTAGCAGCATGTTACCTGTCGAATCCGTGTACCCGTCCATATCTTTAATGTGTGCATTCATGTCTCCTAGTATAATAATCTCACACCCCCTCCCTAGTTCATTAATGTCACTTGCTATACATTCTATAATTCTTTCGTTTTCCTCTTTGGCATCTGCTCCTGTCCACAAATACACAAAGCCAAGTAGTGTTTGCTCCCCCGCCACTTTTCCTTTTAACCATAAATGTTCCACACAATCCTGTTTGACCCTTTGCCAATCCGTACTTTTATGAATGAATGCCCCAATTCTACCTCCCTTTCTGTAGCCTGCTGTTCTATTGCAATATTCCCACGCATAGTCTGGGTTACAGGGTGGTTGCTCTGTGTCCCTAAGATGCATCTCCACAAACCCATAGACCATTAAATTCTCCTGTCTCAGCTGCTCTTCTATTTCCTCCCATTTCAGCCTATTCCTGCCACCTTGCATGTTAATATACCCTATGTCTGAAAAAACTTTCCGCTGGCATTTATGTCTATTACTTCTACGGCCTCTACGCTTCTTTGCCATTGGTTCCTCCCCCGGTTCACCTTCGCCTACTCCGGAGCCTTCAGGGCCCTGGGTCCCCCTAAAAAAGCTGTTGCCTGGCAGCCTATCCTACTGCCTACCCTCCTGCCCGTGGCACCACTGTAGTGGATGCCATCCTGTGCAAAAGAGTGGGAGCCAGCCTCATACACGTCCCTGTTCACCTCCATTACGCCGTACCCAAGTCGTCGGCTCATACCCCTAATGACCCGGTTAGCTTCAACTACTCTCCTTTCCATCCCGCTAGACTGTCCCTGGACCTCTGGGATTGTGCATATGGTCACATGCACTTTCTCAGAGGCCTCCCTAAGCTTACGCAACCCCACCTCCAGCTGTCTCTCAAGGTTCTGGCTTCTTCCCTTCAGCACATCGTTGAGACCAGCATGGATAACGACTAGGTTCTCGTTTTCCATGTTGTCCCATACTACCTCCCGGGCTTTGGCCATTGCATCTACTATGCACTTACCTGACTGGGCCTCCACCTTCACCCGCCTGTCTGCCCTCACCTTTGCCAACACGCCCTCCTCGACCCTCGCTATGTTGGAATCTCCCACCACCAGCACCCTCCTGCGCTCGAACCGTTCGTCCCCAGCCCGCGACTGCTGCCCTCCGGATTGCGGCACCTGGCCCGCCTGCCGCTGCGGTGCTCCTGCCCGCCGTACGGGACTGCCGCTTGTCACCCGGTCCGTCGCCGCCTCTGCCTCATCCGGAACCTGCTGTGCTACAGCGCTGTAGGTTCGTGGTGCCTCCGTGCTATCGCTAGCTCCTGCCGCCTCTTCCCGAGCACCCACGCCAGCCTCGCCCTCCACATGACGCTGGCCCGACACGGGTTCACTCTCCGCCCGCGCCAAGAGCTCCACCCGCTCTTCCAGCCTGGCCCGCTTTTCCCGCTCCTCCTGAAGCTCGCCGGCCAACCGCTCCACCAGGCCTGCGCTGCCTGCCTCCCTCCTCAGCAGCTCGCCGACCTGGGTCTCCAGCTCCACACGCTTCTGACGCTCCAACTGCAGCTCCCGCCTGAGCTCCTCAACGCCAGCTGCCCGTTCCCCCTCCATCCTCCGAACGGCCTCGTCCAGAATTGCGCACATCCGGCACGTGAAGCTCCGGGCCTCCTCGGCGCCTGCCAGGCTCCCGAAGTCCGTTTCATCTAAAAAACACCAGCGAAAGCACCTTTCGCATTGTACATGTTCGGCGTCGCCCTTCGGTTTCCTTGCCTGTCGACCCATCTAGCTCCTAGCTGAAAAGCCCGCCAAAACCACCGCCAAAAATCCGGAAACAATGACCACTCTAGCCTAACTTACTGGTGGCTGCCTGCGGCACAAGCCGCTTAAACTAGCCTAACTACTTACCCTAGCGTTAACTAACTTTACGGTAACTATCCCATACAGGCACTACTCCATGCACTTTAGGTCCAACTCACAAAAAACCCGTATCAACCGAAAAGCAAAAGCCCGCCAAAAATCCGGAAACAATGACGACTCTAGCCTAACTTACTGGTGGCTGCCTGCGGCACAAGCCGCTTAAACTAGCCTGACTACTTACCCTAGCGTTAAGTATACTTTACGGTAACTATCCCATACAGACACTACTCCATGCACTTTAGGACCAACTCACAAAAAACCCGACACCAGGGGGCGGCGCCAACGCCGCCCCCTGGTGTCGGCGAGAGACACCACTCGCCCCGCCGAGGCGGTAGCCCCCCGCACCGCGTGCCGCCCGGAAACCGGGAGTTGCGCGATGCCAGAGTAAGCGAGCCGATGCCTCTCTCCCCCCCCCCCCCCCCACGTCACGGCGCAGGGGCCAGTCGGCCGGGGGGCCGCTGAAGCCAGGAGAGCAGAATTTGTAGATTAAATAGATACTAAATAACCTGGGGGATCGACCTCGATGATGGTGAACCTCTTGCCTTTAGCGCGCGCACCACCACCGATGAAGATCCCACAGTTTCAGCCAATGGCGAGCCAACAGTCCACTGTCGATGGGCGCAGACCCAAGCCAAGCTCTTTAAAAAAAATCCCGGGCCGGGGCCGGGGGGGGCTCTGCCCCCCCGTGAAGCCGTCCGGGGGGGGGCACGAGCCCCACTGCCCCCCCGTAGTTGGCGCTTATGGTTTTCGTTGTCAATTAACAGAAGGACCGGGGGTGGGAGCTCAACTGTGTGCTTACTAGCGTCGTCCCTGGCCAGGATCCTGACGCTGGTGGGCACAGATTCGGCGCTTGGGGCCCCTGGGGTGCGGGTCCCCGGTGAATCGGGCGACCAGCAGGTACATACTTCAACAATTACCATCATGTTAACAAAGAGTGCCCCGCAGGGGGCACCTGTGAAAGCAGGTGTTTGGAGAGTGGCGTCTCCACGGACCCCGAGCCATGCGGGTTCGCCCGCCCACGTCTGGCTGTGCGTGGCTTTCCCGTGTCCGGGGAAAAGGGCATCCTGGTGGTTGAGTCGAACCCGGGGTAGGTTTGGACCCTTCGGGGCCCCCCGGGTGAGGCAATACACCACTTCGGCCCCCGCTTCCCGTAGACGGGTGTCCTGGTTTGGCCCGACCAGGATGATTCAGTCAGTCGCCACTTCTACTATCCCCTCCCTTCTTTTACCTTTGTCTTCTCCTTCTTTTCACTCTTCTCATTTCTCTTCTTTCCTTTTTCAACTCCTTTGGCGGCAAGGGCTAACCTTGGGTGGCGACAGACCCCTTGTCCAAAACCACACTTGGTTATAGTACCTGGGCAGTGCTAATAGTCTAACGGTTCCAGCAAAGCCCTTTTTGTTATGGTCCGTTAACTATTCCCTCGTTGGGCTCCGTGGTGGGCGGCACACCACAGGTTCTGAACACTCTTTGCCCTCCTATGGCGCCCCCCTCTTCCAAACCTCGTTCAGGGCAAGCCTTTAAAAGGCCCCGCAGGGGGCACCTGTGAAAGCAGGTGCTTGGAGAGTGGCGTCTCCACGGACCCCGAGCCATGCGGGTTCGCCCGCCCACGTATGGCTGTGCGTGGCTTTCCCGTGTCCGGGGAAAAGGGCATCCTGGTGGTTGAGCCGAGCCCGGGGTAGGTTTGGACCCTTCGGGGCCCCCCGGGTGAGGCAATACACCACTTCGGCCCCTGCTTCTCGTAGACGGGAGTCCTGGTAAGGCCCGGCCAGGATGATTCAGTCTAGTCGCCACTTCTACTATCCCCTCTCTGCTTTCACCCTTGTCTTCTCCTCCTTTTCACTCTTCTCCTTTCTCTTCTTTCCTTTTCAACTCCTTTGGCGGCAAGGGCTAACCTTGGGTGGCGACAGACACCTTGTCCAGAACCACTCTTGGTTATAGAGACTGGGCAGCACTAATAGCGTAACGTCTTCAGCCAAGCCATTCTTGTTATGGAGCGTTACCTATTCCCTTGTTGGGCTCGGTGGTGGGCGGTGCACCACAGTTTCCGAAAACCCTCCCCCTTCATATGGGTTCTCAAGCTAAAAAACCTTTTGATCGGGCCCCGAAAAGGGTCCGCACCGAAGCACTGCAGATAGAAAAACCAACATACACATTTTCAAAGTTCCCCAAGTTTCTTGTCATGCACTCCGAGGATGAAAAACCACTTGGCAAGTTGTCCCCTTTCCTCATTTCAAAGGTTCTTGAAGGAGTGATTGGGAAGAATTACAATGCAAAAAAGATGGCATCTGGTGATCTCCTAGTGGAGATACACAGTAAGCAACAAAGTGATTCACTATTAGCACTAAACTGTGTGACTGATTACAAAGTCACTGTCACACCTCATAGAACACTTAACACAATTCAAGGAGTGATCTCAGAAGACGACCTGCTCGAGTGTACAGAAACCGAAGTAGTTGAGGGCCTTTCCACACAAGGGGTAATCGCTGCTCGGCGTATTACCCTTCGCCGCGATGGTGTTGAACGCAAGACGAAACACATCATCCTCACATTTGAGTCAACTACACTTCCTGAAGTTGTGAAGGCAGGATATCTCCAGTGCCGCGTCCGCCCCTATGTGCCAAACCCTCAGCGGTGTTTTAAATGCCAACGGTTTGGCCATGGGTCACGGAACTGTCGAGGAAGTGACACTTGTGCCAAGTGTTCTAGCAAGGAGCACGTTGCTGATGTGTGCGAGAATGAGCCCCACTGTGCTAACTGTAGCGGTAAGCACCCAGCGTACTCCCGATCCTGCCCATTATGGAAACAGGAAAAAGAAATCCTGACCTTGAAGGTTACCGAAAATATTTCATACGCTGACGCAAAGAAGCGTTTCGCCTTTGTATCCAAAGGCTCTTATGCCGAGGCCGTACGCAGGGGACCGGTACGGCCAATGGTTTCGACGGGAACGCAGACGTCTACGGACAGTCTGCGCTTCCCGTCGAGGTCTCCGTCCTCGGGAGCGGTGCCAGTAACACCGCTTTCGAACCGTAAGGTGGATGCTGCCTCTTCTGCATCCACCTCAGGGCAGGGGCTGACCCCCCCTGCTCCACCTGGCCCTTCGGCCCCTAAGGGCCGAGGCCTACCCCCTCGCTCCTCTGCTCCCCAGAGGAAGCCCGGTGAGACGTCGAAGCAGTTGGCCCCTAAGGGTCAACCGACGACACCACCGGAAGAGCCCATGGAAGAGTGTGGGCTCAGATCCGACGACGAGGCTATCCTCTCGGGATCGGAGTCCTCCCTCGCTGCTCCCACTACCTCTAGTGGGAAGCAGAATGACTGCGCGAAAAAGAAAAACGCTCCGCGCATAAAAATCGATTTTAAACCTTAGTAACCCGTTTTTACCCATTCTTGCAGTTTATAAGTTAAAGTTTATTTTAATTTTAGCACTGCTATGAGTAAACAATTAGGTATCATGCAGTGGAACTGTCGCGGCCTTCTTCGTAATATTGATGACGTTAATTTTTTTCTCGATGAGCTTCGTCCTGTGGCACTCTGTTTGCAGGAAACCCATCTCTCCGACAAACACACACAGGTCTTACGCCGGCACCAGGTTTTTAGGAAGGACCGCCTTTCTCCTAGCCCTTCTGGTGGTGTCGCAGTTGTAGTGCAGAGCGGGGTTGTGTGTGCTCAGGTTCCTCTACAAACACCACTCGAGGCAGTAGCAGTTCGCGTTCTCCTTGACCGACTCGTCACCCTCGTCTCTCTCTACCTGCCACCCAACGTTCCACTGCAGCTCCACGAGCTACAAGGACTCATAGATCAGCTGCCTAAGCCTTTTTTAATTTTAGGTGATTTTAACGCCCACCACCCACTGTGGGGTAGTGTTCGTCAGGATTCCCGTGGTGGAGTTTTAGAACGACTTTTATTATCCTCCGGGCTCTGTCTTCTGAATAAAAAGGAGCCAACGTTTTTTAGTGCTGCTCATAACACCTTTACTTCAATAGACCTTTCCATATCATCATCAGCTTTACTTCCATGCTTTTCATGGAAGGTTTTAGATAATCCATTTGGCAGCGATCATTTCCCCATAATTTTAGAAAGTTCAATACCCCTTCCTTCGCTTTCGACCCGCCTTCCAAAGTGGAAATTAGAGAAGGCTGACTGGGCTCTTTTTGGTTTAAATGCCGTACTGGATCCATCGCTTTTTCGCAGTATGTCCCCCGAGGAGGCGACGGTGTTTGTCACTGAATGTCTAATTAATGCTGCTGCATCTTCTATTCCGCAAACATCCGGCGTCCTACCCCGGAGATGCAAACCCTGGTGGAATGAGGACTGCACAGTCACTCGCAGGAAACAGAACAAGGCATGGGGTATATTTCGCCGTTATCCCACTGCTTTGAACCTGATTGAATTTAAAAAATGTAGGGCCAAGGCACGTTGGACACGGAAACAGGCAAAGAGGACATCATGGGAAAAATATATATCTTCTCTAAATAGCTTTGTCCCAGCTAAAGAAGTTTGGGATCGCCTGCGGAAAGTCCGAGGAGATTACCAATCTTTCCGAACTCCTCTGTTTTCTTCCCCCTCTGTATCGCTGAAAGATCAAGCAAATGTTCTTGGGGAGCATTTCCATCTTATTAGTAGCTCCTCTAATTTTAGCGAAAAATTCAAGAAATTCCAGTCGACTGTTGAAAAGCAGCCCGTCTCGATGTCGGAGGGTGGTTCATTTTTTTACAATAGACCATTCACAATGTGTGAACTCAAAGTCGCTCT